ATTTGGCCGCACTGTACCGTCGACAAAGCAAGTTTGATGCCGCGGATGTGCTGGAGGGTTGTATCAGTCGCCAAAAGAAAGGTCCTGGTCAGGACGATGCCGAAGTAAGTGACTTAATTTTCCAGAACCCGTTGTTTACCGTATCGCGTGTGATTTCAAATGATTGAACTGAGCCTGAGGTTCGCCCGGCAAAGCACAATTGTTCAATGCCTCTTATGGTAGTCAATCAAATGGCGTGCAGTTGCTGAGCTTCTATTTGTTGTTGTTGTGGTCTACCTTTTTCGAACACGGCCTAGATTTGGACTCTTTCTGGGTGTCATCCTGCCGAATGCATGCCCAACTTTCCTCCCCACTGCTCCCCGGGGCGTTTAATCCGCATGGGATGTCGCACTTCGCATAGGATCAGTGTTAAATTTGGTGCAATCCATTGAATTAATTTGCATGCCATTTTCTGTGCTCCTATTGTTTAGTTGTCATGTGATTTCGTTAAGAAGTGACTCTATCGAACGTATGGTCCAGTCGTATAGCAGTCATTTTGTAAACTGTCAAATTTGTGGCAAGTTTCATATGGTTCTAATGTTCGTCTTGTAGTCTCGGCGTGTCACTTTTAATTTTCGGAACAATTGTGGGACTATGGAGCACCTGTATGATATGCAAACAACAACCAAAACCTGAACAGATGAATCGCTGAGTTAAGGGATGGAGAATTAGAAGAGAAGAATAACATATTGAAGAACTCCAGATTTACATGAGCGTAATGAAGGATTTTATTTGAGACTCGACCAGGTCGAAACAGCCGTACAGTTCTTCCTAGGTTTTCAGCTCATTTACATAAATCCATCACATTTAATTGTACACTTGTGTCCTACTCAAATTAATCAATCACTACTTAACGGAAAAGCTCTCCCCTCATACTCAGCATCATCCCGTAATTCGTGTGTTTCTAAATCTCATTATCCAAATTGAGAAATCCCATGGTATTTCACTAGGTATTTTTACTTCCCACTCTGTACCCGATGCTGCTTTCTAAGGTTTGTCGATTCCTTATCTGCCTGTTTTCCATCAGGAGTATCAAAATGATCGCCGATTTGCTCAGTCCATCTCTAGACGTAATCCAATACGCGCGTTCTACCCCCGACCAGAAAGTGGAATGCCGGTACGCCCATCTCGTCACTGCCTCACTGGCCCTGTAAATGGCCACCAGTCGTTTAGGTTGCCGGATCCGTTAGATCGCGGATCCTCTTGCAGGTACACGCTTGGCCTGCGTACTGTAGAAAAACTCGTATGATCGCGTGCACACATTTCTCCTTTGCTTCTTATGATTATTTGAAAAAAATCACCCAATCGTTGATCATTCGGCTGTTTTCTACATCCACTCACGCAGAAATTTTTGGTGCCCTTATTAAGGATACTTGTAGACTGTCGCTCTATCATCGTGGCAACCGATTCCGCTGATTTCTTCCCGGCAATTGCGTTTCGTTCAATTCACTTACCGACTGCATTGTTATCTGAATGACCACCCGTGGACCGTGGTTTCAACCAACCGTTGAGACTTTTCGTTACCATCTTATTTTCGATCATAATTTGTCGGCGGGTAATGTAAATTTTCCACAAGCCCCCATGCCATCACATTGATTCCGACCGTTTCCCCACACACGGTGCTTTACTTTTTATCGATGTGCTGCGCTTTGATTCGCTTAGCTGGTTTATATATCTGCAGCTGTTTGTTGAGAACATGTTCATTACCGATAGTCACCACCATTTGCTCTGTCTTGTTTGTTGTAGAATGAAAAGGGCCAATTCCGTGTCAATTCTTTCCGGAAACAATAGAGCTCTACCACTTCAGGTACGTCGAATCATCCCAGTTTTTCTTTGTGACGTGTCAAGAGTTTTTGGTTAGTCCGCCAAATTTCGCGGTTTCCGTATCGAATTAAAGCCACCTTGGGCAACCATATGGTGCTCCACTAGCAGCAGAGCTAAAGCGGCATCTTTGCTTATGGTACTTGCCATATAAAAGTTTCGATGTTGACACTGTTCGGAAGAATTGATCAGTTGATCGCTGATATTAACTGTACAAACTACTTGGAAGAATCAGATCATCCGTCTTTCGTTTACCGTTCTTTGAATGTATTTTTCGCCGTTTCCTATGGTTTAATTGCCCTTCAGCTTAACGCTCTAGGGGATTTCTCTCAGAGGCATATTGATCTGTAAGAGATGCTGGCTCGAATTCCTTCAGTATCAACCTAATTCAGAAAATAGGCAGTGTTGGTGTTTTTTTTAGTTTCATACCACATCTATAGTCGCAGGCTCCCGGTTGCTGGTGCTAGCCTTCTACTGTCGCATAAGGTCTATTATCCGAGGCTGATTCGATGCTCTATTGTCAAACGAGTCATTAACCTCTGAATACCTCAAGCCCACGTTTTATGTTCAATGAATGGCGAAGTTCGTTACGGGTTTTTCTTAGTATCGCTATGGTTCATTTCAGTCCACGGAACGCTTTATAGTTCCAGTTTGTGCAACCATTAACCATTATTATTATTGTTAATATAGTGTGTCGGTTTTGGTTGTTGTATTTTGGCTGCACATTTAAATGAACATTAGGAGAAAGATAGGAAAATGTGAAAGTAGGATGAAAGAGAAAATTTAGAATTTCAGTGAACTAATGTTGCAGAGAAATTGACAAGATGTACGGGCGCCACTGTTTACGACACAGTCATATCACTCAGTGTCTCTAACCATCGGGTACGATCATCCCAAGGTACCCATCCAGGGAGCCCAACAGAACCTATGCGACCCAGACTCCTTATCAGGGTTTTCATACCCTCATTTCAGGTCTTAGCTTGACCACCCTTGGCTTTCTTCAACTCATTACCTGCCTCAGCGAACATCGCTCACCGTGGCAACCTATCTGGTGACATGCTTAAAACATGCCTCAACCAACGTAATCTATGGAGGTCGACCACTTGCTCTACTGGGCGACCGCGGATACCCAAAACGCTGCTCCTAACTTCAGCATTGCTCGTCCGACTGCTCCACCAAATTCGTGCAGTGCTGTGTAGACAGCGTTGTTCGAACACCGACAGTCTGCCTTTACCCCATTTTCTTAGTGACAAAGTTTCTGACTTACTCTATAAGATAAAAGTGTCAAGTATAAAATATTACATAATATGCTTCCATCAGTTTTCGGGGAGCAAGAATGCCAAGGCAGACCAATGATTTGGAGAACACTAGATGAAAAAGTTGAGTCACAGTTAGATTGATACACGATATACGGGTCAATGAAATGTTGACTTGAACGGGTTGATCGCCAACGTCCCGACGTGTGCGCGGCATTTCGCTCCATCTACGGATGTTAAAGGTGACCTAAACAGTACTTGGATTTCAGTGCTTGTGAGTTGGTGTACGGTGCAAATTCAAGTAACTAGGAGAGCCATCATATAGGCCCTGTGCTAGAGGAACGACTTACATTACTTCAGGTGTATTACTGCAGTGGTACCCCGTTCTTTTTGAATAAGGAATACTCGCACGGCATCAGTCGTCGGGACGTATAATTGCCCGTTGATGCTAATGACTGTCACAGTCTTGGTGGTTATGATATGTTCTAAACTAGCGCTTTATTCCCAGAGTTCGGTTTCTTCTACCGTCTCTCAACTTTGATGGTAGATAGCATGGATTTCGGCTTTTCCACTGCCACCTATTTTATTGGGGCTCTAAATGTTTTCTATCTTGAGGCTTTGGCTACTGGTTTTCACAACGGAACTGCAGTTCTTTATAACTGTTCGATTCACTCTGTTTAGTGTCTGACCAATAGGGTGTCAATAATTTAAACTCTGATCATGATTGGTAGATCGTATTTCTCCGGAAGATTAGGTTCGACGTGGAGCTTAGAGATACCCACAATGATGTAGTCCGCAGCAATAAGCACTGATATTGGTTGTCTTTTTATTACATCTACGTGTGATGAACAGCAGACGGGGCGAACCCCATAGTCACGAGGACCTGCTGTTCAGTGATGGAAACCGGCAACCTAAGCCCCGGGACTTGGAGTGGCGAACCACATAAGGCCCCGATAGATTAGGCNAGCAGAGCTGCGTATCACCAAAGTCGGGTGGCGGTGGCGGGGCTCGAACCTCGGATCGTAGGGTCCAGAGCACGCACGGTGACAGCGACTAAACCACTGCACCACAGTACTTGTAAACCACTTTGCATTCTCAGTGCTTGTCATCTGTTCTTTGTTCATCATCTACCCCTTCCATATACAGGACCCTGCCCAGTTCTACCTTCACCCATCGCATCAATCAGTTGAGTTCTATTACCCACGCGCCGGAGTCGCGCCTGCGGTCGTTACTGGCTTAGGCCCCTCGATGCAATATCAAACGCCTGCACCGAGCGTGTATCCACAAAATTGTTTCTGGAATGCAACCCGCCCATGGTAGCTTGTTCTACTGGCACAGATATCCGCCCAGCCACATGTTCCCTGTTCTTCCATTGTTCTTGTTGTTTGCACAGATCATCCCTGAATTCACCCTTACATCCTAACCGATCCGTTCCACAACGAGACCTCCCTACGGGTTGGTTGCTTTCTGTCATCGCTTGTCTTCTCTGTTCTGAGCGCAGTATACGCGGTGCCAATTGTTTGCCCGCCTCACTGTCTACACGCGCGCATGTTTGTCTCATCCTGGTTGACTAAGACAACGAGGACTCAGTCTCCGGTAATCCCTTATTCTCTGGCTGTGAGGTGCGTTTCCAATCGCATGACTTTCATCTCTTATCTCTGTTCACTCACCCTACACACTATCACGGTTTATTGTGTCCTGTTGCTTTCGCATTACTGTGCGCGGATCTTTCGTACCGGGTCGCTCTGGAATACGGTGCGCCACTCCTATGCCCGTTACTTTATTGATGTATTTATGCATGTGTTACGTGCGCGTGTGTAAGACTCCACTATGATCGTACCAGATCATTCGTCTCCTTCAACATAGTATTTGCCTTGCGTTTGATACTCAAACGATGCTGCATGACAGATCATATACACTGATTTTCCCCACTTCATTCATCAGCTAAGGTTTTCTTGCCACTTGAACAATGGTCAGATTGTAACAGACACCTACGGATGGCTCACATTCCAGTTTCATTATGCGCCGGTCCCTCTCTCGCGAGCTTGAACTTAACTGATGCTTAATTTTCTTGTGCCTCCTGTACTCATCTTTCGCGATCGTTTGGTGTCCTGTTGTCATTCGTGCAGAGTCGGACTGTGCTAATTATTCTTTCGCCTGACCATTGATCTGCCAACTCACTTCCGACCAGTGCTAGTCGGTTATATTCATTCGGGTTCCTCAAAATGTTTCCCCTCATACTTTTATCAACTCGGACTACTCCCCCTTTGTCACGCTCTACCTGTTTTATTTAGTTGATTTTCCAGTTCCATTTTTCTTAATTTTTGGTTCACTGTTTTTTTCCCGGGTTAAGCACTCACCGGCGTTTCTGTTTGTCATCAGCTTGTACCGCAACAAGTAAGTGCTGCTCAGTTTCGGTCGTGTTCCTGTGTATGTGGCCACTTCTCACTTCCTTGTCCCCTCACTAATTTGATCATAATGAACTAACTGGGTTTGAGGTTGGATCACGCAGGTCCGTTCCCGTCTCCTTATCTTGCAACAGTTTACATCTCCTCAACTCATGTACACCACTCTGTTCTTTCGATTACCGTTCGGTTGTATTCTTGTGCGGCACTCAGGTGTGCACGCCTTTTCACATACCTCATCCGTTTTCTTTGCACTCCCTCTTTTCTGCATATGCACAAATACACATGCGTGTAAGTGTAAGTGGATGTGCAGTAACTGACAGAAACTTGTGGATAGCATTGGCTCGACAACTGTTGCTCTGCGAATTGCACCTCATATCCACTCGGCTATTTCCCCTACGCGACCAAGAAACGACCTCCGGTTCATTCAGACATGCTTATTCTGTTTGATCACGAAAGAAAATCAGTTGAACTGACATTTCAATTCGTTTCCGACTTATTCAGCACCATCAAGTTGATTTTGTGCGCATCGTTCTGCGCTCAGGATTGGGATAAATTCGATAACTGCCAAATTCCGTCATGCTAACTAGCGCATCCTTAGCTAGCCCGTAGAGCCACAGCTGATATCTAGCGGTAAAAAGTATGCACATTCTCAGAATAAGCTGCTGTGGA